AGTCACTCCTTTCAGACCCTGCTAAGATATAGTGATACTATTTTTGCAGCTTAGACCATAGTACCCTTAAATCCTTCCAAATGTGTAGACAAACTATTTTTAAATACCATTTCCCAGGTCACTACACACAGTGCTGCTCAGTCATAAAGAGTGAGAATGTTCATAAGTGTGAATGCAAGAGCAAACACTAACAATTTGGTTCTTTATGGTCACAGATGCAGCAAATAAACCCGTTTAACCTACATTGTGATAAAGAAAATAAGGTAAACTGTTAAATCATAATAGTGGAGATCCAAAAGTGTCCTAGGTCCAGAACGAACATTCAGTGGGTAAAGGGGAATCAAGAAATGCTTCCTGTTAGGGAAAAGGACACCAATGATTTTTTGATCAGTAAAATTTTGGAAAGTACTAAATATAAAACAAAAGCTTAAGAGAGGTTGAGCATTTTAGAAAGCATCCTACATAAAGGGCTCACATGGGCTGAATGGACGAGGCAGTTTAGTGTCAGACCCTGCTTCCAATCCCAGCTCTGCCACTCTGGAGGTTAAAAAGTTACTCAACCTCTTGTACTATCGGTTTCCTTACCTCTAAAGTGGGGATAATAATACCAACTTAAAGCATCATGGAAAGATTAAATGACATAGGGGTGTAAGGTGCCCCACTCACTCACCGCAGGTACCTAATGAAGTTGCTTTCTTGGATTGTTATAAAATTATCTTAAGTGCACACACATGTACAAAGGTACACACTCATCATTTCAGAGCAATCTTTAAGGTCAAAACAGGAGACAAAAATTCAATGCAGTCCTTATCAAAACACCAACGATATTTTTCACAAAACCTGAAAAAACAATACTACAAATCATATATATAATACATATTTTTAAAAGATCCTGAATAACCAAAGCAATACTAAGCAAAAAGAACAATGCCTGATTTTAAGACATAGTTCAAGCCAGACACAGTGGTGCAAACCTGAAATCCCAGTGGCTTGGGAGGCTAAGGCAGGAGGATCACAAGTTCAAAGCCAGTCTCAGCAACTTAGCAATGCCCTGAACAACTTAGCGAGATCCTGTCTCAAATAAAAAATGGGCTGGAAATGTGGCTCAGTGGTTGAGTGACCTTGGGTTTAATCCATGGTACAAAAAAAAAGACATACTTCAGAATAATATCAAAACAACAACATGGTATGGGCATAAAAACAGACAGGTAGACCAATGGGAGAGAGTAGAGATCCCAGAAATAAACCCACACATCTACAGCTGATTCTCGAAAATGGCACCAAAAAACATACATTGGGAAAAGGACAGCCATTTCAATAAATGGTGCTGGGAAAACTGGATACTCACCTGCAAAAGACCCCTATCTCTCACCCTATACAAAAGTCAACTCAAGATGGATCAGATACCTAAATATAAAAGACCAGAAACTCTGACACTACTGGAAGAAAACACTTCAAGATATTGTTATAGGCAATGATTTTCTGGATAGAACTCCATTAGCTCAGGAAATCAAAGTAAGAATTAACCAAAAAAAAGGGGATTACATCAAATTAAGAAGCTTCTGCACAGCAAAGGAAACAATCAACAGAGTAAAGAGTCAACCAACAGAATGGGAGAAAATATCTGCCAATTATTTATCTGACAGAGGATTAATGTTTAATAACTCAAAAAAACTTAAGAAAAAACAGTAATCCAATTTTAAAATGGGCTAATTATCTGAATAAACACTTCTCAAAAGAAAAGATACAAATAGCCAACACATATATGAGAAAATGCTCAATATCATTAGCCATCAGGGAAATGCAAATCAAAACTACAATGAGATATCATCTCAATCCAGTTAGAATAGTTATTATAAAAAAAAAAACGCTGGCAAGAATGTGGAGGGAAAGGGACTATTATATACTGTTGGTGAGAATGTAAATTACTATAGCCATTATGGAAATCAGGATGGAGGTTCCTCAAAAAACTAAAAACAGATCTACCATATGATCCATCTATTCCATTCTGAGCACAGATCCAATGGAATTGAAATCAGCACACCAAAGACATCCCTGTATTCCCCCATAGTACTTACTTACTATTCACAATAGCTAAATACAGAATTAAAATAGAAGCCAGTCAACAGATGAATGGATATAGAAAATGTGATATATCATATATGTGATATAATGTATACTCATATATATGTGTATATGTATACATATCATATATGTATATACCTACATACATATATATCACATGACAATATCATATATATACTTAATCACATACATATATCTGTGATATAGATATATGTATATATATGTGATAAACATATAAATATATGTATACATGTATAGATATACATGTATACATATACATTGTATGTATTATATATGTGAATGTGTATATATAATACATGCAATAGAGCATTGTTTAGCCATAAAGAAGAATAATACCCTGTCACTTGTGGCACAATGCATGGAACTAGAGGAAATTATGTTAAGTGAAATAAACCAGATACAGAAAGACAAGCGCCACATATTCTCTCATTATGTGGAAATTGAAAAACTCAACTCAAAAGCAGAATAGTGGAGACTAGAAAGGGAGAGATGGGGTAAGGAGGTCAGATATGATTCATGTGTGCCATATGCATGTATGGAACTATCACACTGAACCCCATTGGTGTGCACAGTTAATACATGTTAATAAAGTTTTAATCTTTCTGAGAGTATAACCATGTCTGCATGATTTGAATTATGGTAGATTTTTTTTTAAAACTGGGACAAGGGGCTGGGGTTATGGCTCAGTGGTAGAACACTTGCCTAGCATGTATGAGGCACTGGGTTCGATTCTCAGCACCACATATAAATAAATAAACAAAATAAAGGTCCATCAACAACTAAAATATACATAAAAATAGTAAAAAAGACTGGAACAAGCCAGGCACGGTGGCACACGCCTGTGCCTTAGTGGCAGCACCATAATTAGTACATCCACACTCCCCCCACCACAACTGTCCTTTGCTCTGGCACTGAGCTCTTTCAGAAAGGACGGGGTCAAGGAACAGGTAACAAATAATTACTGAAATAATCAGTAAATGCATGAATAAGCTCAGTGACATCACCAATGTTAGATATATACTCTGATACCTCACACCAAAAGCATTTATCTAATGGGCAGCAATAAAACACAAAGCAATGTACAGTTATGAAATCCTATTTATACCTGGGGTGGAAGGATTTATAGTTCTGTTTATTAAAGAGGCAAGTCAGATTATCAAGACTAATTTAAGCCAGGCACTGTGATGCATGTCTGTAAACCCAGCTACTAGGGAGGCTAAGGCAAGAGGATCGAAAAGTTCAAAGCCAGCCTCAGCAATTTAGCAAGTCCCTAAATAACTTAGTGAGACCCTGTCTCAGAATAAAATATCAAAAGGGCTGGGGATGTGACTCAGTGGTTAAGTGCCCCTGGGTTCAATCCCTGGTACCAAAAAAGAAAAATCAAATTTAAAAGAATATGAATATGATTATGAAGGTGCCAGGCCATAAGTAGCATACAAATTCCCCTGCCTCATCAGGGTCATTTGAAATAAATCATGAGTCAGCCCAGACATGTTGATCCTACAAAATGCTGGGCTGTAGAATTTTTTTTATACCTTTATTTTATTTATTTGTTTGTTTACTTACTTACTTACTTACTTATTTAATGTGGTGCTGAGGATCAAACCCAGTGCCTCACCCATGCTAGACAAGCACTCTATCTACCTGAGCCACAGTCCCAGCCCAGCCATTAGAATTTAATGTGTGTGACTCCCAGACTCATAAAGCATTGTGGAAACTTGGGCTGGGATTGTGGCTCAGCGGTAGAGCGCTCCCCTAGCACTGGCGGGACCCTGGTTCGATTCTCACCACCACATAAAAATAAAGGCATTGTGTGGTGTCCATCTACAAAAAAAAAAAAAAAAATTCTCTCTCTCTCTCTCTCTCTCTCTTTTTTTTTTTTTTTTTTTTTTTTTTTTTTTT